GGTCTCTGCTTCGCAGCCACTGGCAGTCTAGTTAGAGGAGAGACCCGGCGGGGGCCCTGTCATGAAGCCACCTGTGCCATTCCCTTAGTGATAACACAAAGAATACATAACAGAAAAACATCTGGAGTTAATCAGTCTAATCAGGAAAATCTAATTCTTGTTCCGTGTAAGAATCAGCCGACCGCAACCGCTGATACTGAAACTTTTAAACTTGCTATGCTAAATGTCAGATCTCTTTGTAACAAGTCTTTTTTAATCAATAATTTTATTTGTTCTTATAATCTAGATCTTATGTTCATGGCTGAAACATGGCTTGACCAAAATACAGAAAATGCAGTTTTAATAGAAGCATCACCACCAAATTTCAAATTTGAATCTGAAATACGGGAAAACAAAAAAGGAGGAGGCTTAGCTGCCATTTTCAGAGACCACTTTGTCTCCCATAGAATGTCTCTTGGGAAGTTTCCGTCTTTTGAATATGTGTCTTTTAAAATCCAACAAAAACAATCTCCTCCAATACTTTTCGTTGTCCTATACAAGCCACCGCAGTCATGTCACAGTTTTATTGATCATTTTACAGAGTTTCTTTCAGTTGTAGGCACAGATTTTGATAGTTTAGTTATTACAGGTGATTTTAATATTCATGTGGATAATGTTGATGACAGAAATGCTAAAGAGCTGAGTTCTCTTCTTGAATCTTTTGGTCTCACTCAGCATGTGAGTGGCCCCACGCACAGCAGAGGGCACACTCTAGACCTGTTAGTTACAAAGGGGGCGAACATTTATAATGTAAACGTGGTCGATGTTGCGCTTTCGGATCATTTTTGTATATTTTTTGACATGTGTTTCACTAACAAACCACCAGTGGACTCTGCAACTGTACGAAGAAGACACATAAATGAAAATATGGGTGAACTATTTATGGGAATGATAAACTTTGAGAATGCATCGTATTCTACTGTAGATGAACTGTTTAACTCTGTCACCTCTAGTGTTTTGAAAGTTCTGGACACCATCGCTCCTGTGAAGGTTAAAATAGTGAAAAATAAGCAGAAGGCCCCGTGGGCTAAAGCAGACTCGGTCAGGGCACAAAAGAGAAAGTGCCGGAGGGCCGAGCGGAAGTGGCGCAAGTCCAACCTCCAGGTTGATTACAAGATCTTCAAAGATAAGTTGTGCGAGTTTAACCAGGTGCTACGTAGTACGAGAGAAAGGTATTTTTCTGAAATGATGAAATGATTGAAGGCTGCAGCAACAATCTGCGTGTTCTGTTTTCAACAGTTAATAGATTAACAAACCCCCTGTTCAAATGCCATTAGAGCTAACTTCCAAACGTAAATGTAATGAGTTTGCAAATTTTTTCAATGACAAGGTTCAAGGCATCAAAAACGCCATTGTCTCCAATCCACAGATAACAATCCAACAGCCAGAAAGGCTCTTTGAGCTAACTTACTTTGCACCTGCAAATGATCAAACTGTCCAAGAGATAATCTCCAGTTTGAGCTCCTCCACATGCAGCCCGGATGTACTACCCACTATATTTCTAAAGTCTGTTCTGAGCAGTCTGTTACCTTCACTCACACAGATAGTAAACATGTCCCTTGATTCTGGAATATTCCCAAAGGCCCTGAAAACTGCAGTCATCAGGCCCCTGCTAAAAAAGAGCAGTCTGGATGCTACGGTACTTAACAACTATCGTCCCATCTCAAATCTGCCATTTATGGGGAAAGTCCTTGAAAAAGTTGTCTACCTACAGCTTACTAGATTTCTTATAATCAACAACTCATTTGATATGTTTCAGTCCGGCTTTAGACCCCACCACAGCACTGAGACTGCTCTCGTCAAGGTTACAAATGATATCCGGCTGAACACTGACGCAGGCAAAGTCTCAATCCTAATCCTTTTAGATCTAAGTGCTGCCTTTGACACTGTCGACCATGAGATCCTCTTACAGAGACTAGAGGACTGGGTTGGCGTCGCTGGCTCCGCCCTAAGTTGGTTTAGGTCTTACCTTGAAGACAGGAAGTACTTTGTGGAGATTGGAAACTGTGTCTCAGATCATATGGCCCTGACCTGTGGAGTCCCACAGGGGTCGATCCTGGGACCTCTTCTGTTCAATCTCTACATGCTGCCGTTAGGTCAGTTAATACGCAGAAACAAAGTTTCCTATCATAACTATGCAGACGACACTCAGATTTATGTCTCACTGACTGCAGGAGAAAATGGACCAGTGGACTCACTCCTTCACTGTATCCAACAGATCAGTGAGTGGATGCAAAACAACTTCCTTCAGTTAAACGCAGACAAAACTGAAATGATTGTCTTTGGTCCCCAGAAAGAGAGAGCGTCATCTGTCATCTACAGTCTCTCTCCCTAAAACCTTCAAACAAGGTCAAAAATCTAGGGGTAATACTGGACTCAGACTTAAATTTTAATAGCCACATCAAATCAGTAACATCAGCAGCTTTTTACCATCTAAAAAACATTGCCAGGATCAAAAACATAGTGTCTAAAGCAGACCTGGAGATTCTTATCCATGCATTTGTCTCCAGTAGGTTAGACTACTGCAATGGCCTGCTCACAGGTCTGTCCAAACAGGCTGTAAAACAGCTGCAGTACATTCAAAATGCAGCAGCTCGAGTCCTGACTAGAACCAGGAAGTACGACCACATTAGTCCAGTCCTCAGGTCCCTGCACTGGCTTCCTGTGGCTCAGAGAATAGACTTTAAAACAGCTCTGCTTGTGTACAAGTCTCTCCATGGCCTCGCACCAAAATATATTAGTGACATGTTAGTCCCATATGAACCAGCCCGGACTCTGAGGAGCACAGGGACTGGACTCCTGTTAGTGCCCAGAGTCAGAACTAAACATGGGGAGGCTGCTTTTCAGATTCATGCTGCTAAAATCTGGAACAATCTTCCTGAAGATGTGAGACAGGCCTCCTCTCTGACAATGTTTAAAACCAGGTTAAAAACGGTGCTGTTTAGCTGTGCATACAACTGAGGGATTTTATATTTTTATCTTTCGTTTTAATGTTCTGTAATTATTTATGATTTTAATGCATCTTGTTCAGCACTTTGAGTTGCCTTGTGTATGAATTGTGCTATACAAATAAACTTGCCTTGCCTTGCCTTGCCTTGCCTTCATGGCCGGGTCGCCGGGACAAAAAATGGATGGATGGAAATAATTTTCAAAGATGGAAAGATGCTTTTTCTGTTTTAACCTAAATGTGTACATATTGATTGGGGAATACACCATATATCAGGTCATACTTGCATGCAAAACCCATATCCAGTCAAACCTCTAAAGCTGTACAGGGTAGGGCCTGGATAGTGCTGTGATGGGAGACCTCTGGGAACACCAGGTGCCACAGTGAGGCATCTTTGAATGTTCAGTAAAGCGCTATACAAAACCAATGCATTATCTACTCTATCTACTAAATATTTATAAAAATTAAGTTATGATTGATATGTGAGGCTCAAGGCTTTTCTTTTATACATTCTTATTCTGATACATACATATATAAAACTATCTGTTCTGTCCTTTTGACACAGATCAGCTGACCTTACAGCAAACAGAACAACGGATAATAGTTTTGTATTTGAATGAAGTGTAGATGATTAGTTAATAACTTCATGTTAATTCCGATTTCTATAAGCGGGTGATAGTGCAGTGAACATGCATGCTGTTTCCTAATGTGTCATGGTGTTATAACATTACCCCCCACACTCTCACATAATCAAGTGTTAGAATGATGGACATATTCACTTCTTCTTTGTCGCCCCTTTTCTGAAATTATTTGTACTTACCGCTCTCTCTGAGCAGCTCTGCAGTTATGTGCTTTCAACACATTTGAAAGTTTAAGGCATTTTTTTTTTGTCCAACCTAAAAATGAATGCTTCCAATGCTTTTGTGCTGCCAGAGAATATCGCAGAAACACCTTTCCTTTTAGTATAATGGACTTTCTCTGACAATGCTGCTTTTGTGGATAGTTGAAAAGAGAGTTCTTCTCAGTATGATTTTTTTTCTTTCATGGCTCAAATCACTTTTCTTGTTTTAGAAGGAATTAAAAAACTTGTGCTTTTTTGTACTTCATATTACATGTTGTTAAAGGGGAAAAAAACAACTTTTCTGAGCTTCAGTGGATATTTGCATTGAATTTTTTTTCATTTCTTTTTGACTTCAAGTAAAGGTCAATTTACATGAATGTGAGTTTCTTTTCAAACTGTGAAGAGAAGAGGGAAAAATACTGGAACACAAGTGACAGCTGGATCCCACCCACGCTCACTTAAATACATTTAAAGGAGAATAATAAATCTAGCCAAAAGTGGTTTTGGGTTTTTTTCTGGACGATGTTGAAAGTTCTTTGAGATAACTACTGGTGTGATTAAGCTAGGCAAGAATTCATTAATTTGAATTACAGGTTCATATGGACACACAATGACAATAACAATTGCACAAAGTTACTAACATCGGGGGCGCTGTTGGACACCATGGAGTGAAGACGTGCTTCTCGAGGCTCCGCAACAACGGGGACAAATATTTTATTTTAAAGCACACCGCCACTTATAAATCAGCCTCGTATATGGGTATTATAATGCACGTTTAATCCCTTCGTCGTTTGACACCTTTTCGGCCACTGAGCTACTTTTTGAGGACTTTTTACAACAGGCCGCAGCCGTCACCTCGAGCCCTGCTAGTTAGCATTGGCAGCAGCTAGCTACAGCTAATAACGCCCGACCCGAGCCCGACACGAACTCTGTTCTTCTCCTCTGGCTTGAAATGTTCTCTTTGCATTGTGACACCAGGACCGATACTACTGCGTGCACGGGTGAGCATTGAAGAGTGATTTTCGTCCTTGGATGGTATATGGTGCTACAGCTAAGCATTAGCAGTGCGCGCCGGTGTCGCTGAACTGTGACGTCATCGTGTGCTCAAACTTTGTTTCTATCGGGACTGTCTTAGACTTTTTTAGTTGTTTAAAGTCGTGATATCCCCGTGAAATGGATAATAAGAACCAGAAGGCGACTCGCCAGAGACGCACTACTGTTGACACGAGCTCTGGGTCGGGTGCTCCGCGTCGGGAGGAGGTGCAGCTGGAGGAGGACGAGCATGGTTCAGATGCTCCGCTCAGTGAGGCAACATTCACCAGAGCGCTGCAGGGTCTGAAGCAGGACATTTGCGGTACATTTGACTCGAAGATGGATACCCTTACCCTCACATTAAGGTCAGAAATTCTATCTGTGAAGGCTGAGCTCAAAGCTAATGTGAACTCCATCCAAACTTTTGTGGAAACTCAGGGGGCCACCATTAAAGACCTCGAGGCTTCCGCCACTTCTTGCAGTGACGAGTTGACGTCACTTCAGGCCTCTGTATGTGATTTGGCTGAGGAAGTAAAACAACTACAGTCTAAATGTGAGGATCTGGAGGGAAGGTCAAGGAGGAACAACATTCGTCTCATCGGGCTGGCTGAGGGACTGGAGCTGCCTAATACTAGAGAATTCATCTCACAACTTTTGCGCGACCTGGTGAGGTTGGAGGAGGTGCCACTTCTGGACCGAGCTCATAGATCTAGCAGGGAAAAACCAAAAGAAGGGGCCCCACCTCGACCAATAATCATCAGAGTGCACTATTTTCACGTGAAGGAACAGATTCTGCGGCGGGCAGGAGCTGCTGCACCTCTTCTTTATCAGGGCAGGAAAATTTTCATTTTTCCAGACTTTACGTCAGCTGTGGCCAAGAAACGTTCTCAATTTGTGAACGCTAAACGTCTCCTACACTCCTGCCCTGGCATCAAGTTTGGTCTGTTCTACCCTGCTGAGTTGAGAATCACACTACCGGATGGAGCTGTGCGTAGATTCTCCGATCCCAAAGCTGCCACAGACTTTATAAGTAAGACACTGGGAGTAAGGGCTGCTGACTAACATGGTTTGAGGCTGGTGTTCATACTTTCTGATTTACATTGTTAAAACGACAATCTAACTGGAAACCGTTGGTTTCATAAAGATGTAGGGTGTGCTTGTTAGTATTTTCTATTTTTTATATATTTTTTGAACTACTTTATACTTAAATATATTTTTCAGATTTTTATATTTTATTAGTTCATTGTATTATTTGTGTTTGTGTTTACAAATAGATAGTTTTGAAATTTGTAAAAATATGGACCCGACTAATTTTACATGCTTCCAAAAATACATAAAGACCCACAAGACATGGACCATACCCAAAACCGAAATCCCCACCAGGTAGACCTATCAAATCTCAGACGGCCTCCAGCGAAACATATCGATCAGCGAAATACCATGGAACATTATCTCCACCCACTCTCTATCAAACAACCCAGCATATCTCAAAGACCCTATCACTTTATCAACATCAGTCAAAAACCTAAAATAACCTCTACTTTCCCTTTTTTCCTTTTCACCATTGACATTTATTCCCTCTATACTAACATTGACCGAGAAAACTCCCACTCACACCCGCAGGCTTGGCTGCAGTACGAAATATTATGAATAACACCCCTGAACCCTACCAGACCGGACACCCAAACTTCAACTCCTTGAAATAACACCTGAACCGTAATGATTTTGAGTTCGACTGAAGAAAATTCTTTAATCAGATTAAAGGCACAGCCATGGCAAGAAATATCGCAGTCCATCAAAAACGCAAACATATTTACGGCAGACTTGGAGACAAAAGCACGGAACCATGCTCCATCAAACCCATAACTATCCAACAGATACCTGGACGATAATTTTCGGAATTAGGACTTTCAACAGAAACGGACTGACACACTTCAATACAAACCCTGGACTCCTTTCGACCCCTCCATCAAACTAAAATATGTATACAACCCACAACAAAGTGGACTTCTTAGACACAACAGTGTAAACCTAGAGGGCCCTTCATTTTGAACACACACAAACCCTGGACATAAACGTATCTGTTCAAAGATACGACACACCATATCACTACAGAAAGGCACCACAATCCTCCACAAAACAGAAGCAACCACCCCAAAACATACATTCAAAGGGCCTGATAAAACACACTCACAGCCGATTCAAACGTATATGTACACCACCGACATCCAGGAACTTTCTGCAAGCATTCAGACCCTATTTGGAGCCACTAAGACAACCGAGGCATTCCCGCACATTCTTAAGGCGTGCCTAGCCACAATTCGATAACAACAACAAAAAAACAAAACAAAAGACACACCGAATTAATTGCATTAATTTCCACTACTCCACACCAGCATTAAATATAGCCCCCCATATCAAAACAAACTAATTTACCATTTATATTCTAACCAAGGACTTTTACCCAGACAATCAGGATGATAGCAGCATCCAGAGGAACCCGAATCTAAAGGACGTATTTTAGGTGTGTTAGAACTTCAGGTTGGGTGTGAAAGCTAAGTACAGACTCTGGGGAATTCACAAAAAGATCATGTTGCGTCTGCCAGCGGTGAACCACACAGCAAAGTGGTTTTCAGGAGCAAAACATACACATCTATCATCTGGCATCCTGCCAAAGACGACAAGTGCTGACACTGAGGGCGAGTGAGCTGCGTTTCCTCAAAAGAAAATTAGTTAAAATAACCCTTCAACCCATTCCCTGGTACTTTGAAAGAGTATATAAGGAACTTCTAAAATAAGATGTAGGTGGAGACAGGTCGCAGGCGCTGTACAAGCCTGATGTGTGTCCAAGTATGTGCACATAAAGACTTCTCTTCACGAACCACAAGTTGAGTATTTGTTCTTATTGCTCTGACTCAGTCTGTACATGTCATTGTCACAGCTGTATTTCTGTATACATTGTGTTTAAACAGAAATACAATGAAATCAAAAAACATACATCACCAAACCTAACCCAAAAATTACAAATAAGAACCAGATTTCTTATTTATTATTACCATTGTAATTAACAAAGTCATAAACTAGGAATTTGCTTTGGTATAAGGTGCAAACAAGTTGATAAAAAGTAGAAAATAGATATTAAAGCATACATGAAAGAAATAATAAAACAACTACAGTATATACATACACACCGTGGACATGTAACGGTGCAGATGCTCATGCTGCAACATAACATGAAAAATGAATGAAATGCATGCAAAAATATCTTATCTACTATTATTTAACATGAGATTGCAAAGTAAAACCAGTCAAAAGTAAGGGAAGAAACTTTTCTTGGGTGAGAGCCCCCTGCCTGAGAGGGACTTGAATAATCTCATGTCCAGGGTTAGAGGGTCAGCTGTGATCCGGTCCTGGACAGATGGAAGACCGCGGCCGATCCCCTCAGCCAAGCGCACAATGTTCTACACTGGCTTCAGTGCAGCTCACGGGGAAGGAGCAGGAGAGAGGGGGAGGGGGGGGAGAGGGATAGGTCTATGATTACCCTCAACTACACTGTCAAATTAGACTTTCCAAGAATTGTCCTTGAAGAAGACAGAGAAGATAGAGTAGGATAACCAAAAAATGCATTATTTTCACGTCCACTGTATTTTTATCACAAATAAACCAAAATCGGTTTTCGAACATTTTACAACTTTTGTCAGATAGCTCATATAAATGGATATATATTTCTATTATTTTTAGTAGAATTTAGTATTTGTCTACGATTAAAATATTTTCAAATACAGAGGCATTGCTTTTTGTCTTGATCCTCTTCAGTATTTCCGTTTTGTGATACCTGTAACAGGGGGATCGCAGAACTGCCGACCCCCCTGCAGCAGCTTGGGAACAGGTCTACATCAGGGCAGGGTGTCCAGAGTCCAGAGAAAGAAACAACGGGTGAATAGCAATGCAAATATTATGCTCCAAAGCCAAAACAATAAATAAAACATGAGTAAGGTGTATACATTAAGCTAAAATCTGGAACAATCTTCCTGAAAATATGAGACAGGGTTTTTCTCTGACAACGTTCAAATTCAGAATAAAAAAACAGTTTTGTTTAGCTGTGCATACAACTAAAGGAATGTATCTGGACTCTTTTTTTAATTTACTGTGAATATTTATTATTTTAATGTCTTTTTATGTATCTTGTTTTGTTTAGCACTTTAGTTGCCTTGTTTATGAACTGTGCTATACAAATAAACTTACCTTGCCATTAATCACAATATGTAATCTCTCATTTATAATGCATCTTATTTTCAGAACAGCATTGTACTGTTCCATCCATCCATTGTACTGTTGGTTGGGTTTATTTGATAGGTACCCCTTGGAGAATAATAAATATGATTAATCTCAAGGGACAATCCATAATAATCTTAAATAAATACATAATTTTTAAATAAAAATAAAGGCGGTACAAGTGTGTTAGATGAGCACATTTACGTCCTACAACATTTTAGCCAAAGAGAACTCCTTCCTTCCCCGTGACATTGTGGCCTTCATAACGCTGTCATGTAGCTGCATTCTGTCACATTACTCTGAACTGGAAAGGTCTCTGCTCTTCTCGTCCTCTCATTTTTCTCCCTCTGTCGCTCTCGTCACATTTATTCCTCGTATTTTTGTCAGCGTGGAGTCACGGCACAATGGTGGGGTCCTCTCTGGGTTCAGAGCAGGCGGTCGGAAGGCGTTTGGGGGAAGGTGAGAGGACGGACTGAGCAGTGACAAGACGAGAGAGTCCATCTTTCTCTCCTTTCGTTAGAGACCACCTTTCGTTAGGCTGCAAAGGCACAGTGTTATTTATGTTTTACTTTTAAATCAGGGAAAGGAATAATACTTTGGAATATTTGAACCTAAAGACAGAAACCTAAAGAGTTAGGTTTAAGCACTAGCCAAAAAACAGTAGTTTAATTTGATCAATACAGGGTTAGACCTAGCCTGGCCTTAGCCATCCGTACACTCCGTTCAGTCTTCATTTCACTGCATGTAACGTCTGGGTCTGGTCCCTGTGTTAGCGATTACAATCGGTTGAATTTCGACCGACCATTCAGAGAGCGCGGAAGGCAGGTGTTGTAGTTAGTTGTGGGTGATGTCAAGAGTTTGCGTCGAACAGGCAGGTTGTAGTTTTGTAATGGCGAAATATGTGATAGTAAAGTAATCCAGTCTGGTTCTATCAAGAATTTGAAGCCGGAGCAAGAGGAATGTTTAACCAATGTAAATCGCTGGAAAAAATTGTGGCGCTACTCCCCTCGGGCTCCGTTAGCGGCAAAGGAGATGGCTAGGCTAAATGCTAACAACAGACTCGGGCGCACTACATACGTCACGGTAAACTCAGATCCAATCGTTTCAATCTGCAAAAGGAGTTAACCCTCCCATCTGTTCACGGAGCTCAATGGAGCACCTCCAGACCTTAGTACGAAATGTCATTTGTACTATGGTGTGGTACAACCGGGCTAGTACTTTTTCAAATGTTGTCTAACTTTGCATGGGCTAAAAAGGAAATCTTATTATTGGCCGTAATGTTACAATAAACAGCTCATGCTTGACGTTTTGGCCTCTTATTTGCGTGTCAAAAAGGTTTAGTGTTTTCTATAAATGCACAATTTTGTACAACAATACTCTAATGGCCCAAAGCATTGTGGGGGGTTGGGTCAGAGGTTACTGGTCACCTACAGAGGTTGGCCAGTAACCTCTGTAGGTGTGTTATATTCTGTATGCCATATTATGATTTATGGAGAAACAATAAGCACATTAAGAATTCAGGTTTAAATTTGACTTTTTTTTCCACACCACAACCATAATCATCGATGTGGTGTTGTGCACAGAACAACAATGAAAATCACAAAACAAAGACATTTAGCTTTTATGTAACAGGCTGGAGTTACTAATGGTGAATGTGAAAAAATAAATAAAAGAAAGCTTTATGCCCAAGGGGATTTTAGTGATGAAATAAGCTTTAACTTTTCATTTTTTGGAAGAAAAAAACATTGTGAACAAATGGAATACCATCAAGTGATATTTTTAGTAGAAGAAAATCATTTTGGGAGTGAACAATGAGATATTTTTTTTAAGATAACTCTTATTTTTTCCAGTTGAATGTATCCTCGAAGAGACAAAACATCTATATTTTTGACAGACTGGACATAAAAAACAAGTTGAAAATGAAATGTGTTTGTGTCTGTGCTGGTATGAAGTGAAATCGCAGGCTGCTCCAAATGAAAGAAGAAAGGTTTTGTACTGAATTAAACAATAAGAACAGAGTGACATGCTTGTGGGAGACGAGCTGTGACTTTCAAGAACAGATTGTGTTCAAATCCGCTAATGCCATCCAGATGCTAAATGTAGTTTGTATTTCAAATCTATTTACATCTATTTTGCTTTGTTTGTATTCTGTCATTACTCACTGGCTCTCCTATTGTGATAACCTGTAATTGTTCACACTCTGGCAGAAACTTCATGATTTTTCCCCCCTCATTTAAACTCACCTCAAAACCCACAATGATGCTGAAATCACATGTTTCTGTAACCAGGAGTTGTGACCTCTCCAACAACTTGCACACAATCATCTCATCACCTCAATGGCCTTCTGTGCTTGTTATCAGACAGGTCGGAGGTGGATTTCTGTCCACTCTAAGCACGCCTCTCAAACATCTCAAAACAAGCCGAATAATCTCCAAGTCAAGTTGTTAGGTTGAAGTGAATAATCAGAGTGAGATATGAATTATACATTGGTGCTTTGATAGAAAACATTCTTATCACATCATCTGAAGCTCCACCTGAGACAACTCTATGTGTCACAGATATTACATAGTTTTAATTCAGGTGGTGCTGGTAAAATGCAAAGGAGATGAGATCAGCACGATTGGGTTAGTACTACCAGGCTGTGTGCATAGCAGCTTGAAAAATTAGGCCTGAGATGTTGCTGCAGTACAGTGTTCGTGGTTTTGCATGGTTTTGCATGGGTCCAGACCAGTGGGGGAGGGTCCCAGCTCAAAAGTGGCCAAAATGACGTGCGCTGACATGCTTGCAATACAACCCCGGGCCAATGGTGGTGGACCCAGAAGTAGAATTAGCCAATGCTAACATATAGCATTGGCAGACCTCTCAAAAACGTCTTTACAGGATGGACCAAAAGTTGGCTCTTGGCCCAAAGCTCCGTTCTGTCAATGCTGAGGGGGGTGGATTTTTTTGGTCCACTCTAGTTTACTTGCTGTGAATTTTTTGAAGTCTCTCGTTCAGATGAATGGAGCTGCACCGGCTGACGCATGCGCAGATGCGTTTTTTCACAATTTTCTTGTGGGCGGGACCACTTGCGGCCATTTTGGATTGCTCCAGTAGAGCACATTTTTTGGCCCATTAGTTAGAACGGCGGAGATAGGCGTGACTCTGTCCATTAATATATACAGTCTATGGTCCAGAACAGAGCAGAGATGGATCCATGGTCTGAAACAAGAGGATCAGGCAAAAATCCACAGGAGGAATGCTAACTTTTTGAAAGTGTCACAATCAAATATTCAATCATTTGACAGACTCAGTACATGCAGAGTGACACATATCCAGTCTTCTATTGTTATAGTGTTAATTGTAGGCTCACAGCTTGTAAAAACCCAACTGAAAAGATCTCAGAAATTTAGAATATTTTGAAAGTGGACTGTAAACCATAATCATCCACATTAAGAGATCCTTTATTTGTCCCACAGTGGGGAAATGCCAGTGTTGCATCACATGTTACAGAACAGTAGGAATGAGGAGCATACAGCACAAAATAAATAATAATTCCTCAATACCAAAATGAAAAACAAAACAAACACAAAGGTTTGGCGTATTATATCAAATGTTGGTCTCACATGTTAATGTTTCGGATATTGACTTGTTTGTCACAGTTTTGTGCTTCACTGCAAGAAGGTTTGATTCCCGGTTGGCACAAGGCCTTTCTGGATGGAATTTGCATGTTCTCTCCATGTCTGCATAGATTTCCTCTGGGCGCTCCGGTTTCTCCCTACCACTTAAAACATGCAGAATAGGCATGTACTGAGAGTGAATAGATGTTGATGACTATGTTTTGGTGATGCCAGTGATGCTTCTGTCACTGTGTGTGGATTGAATGGAAATGATCCCAAATGCATTATACAAAATAAGATCCAATTTGAAAATGTGTCCAAAAGATTTATTCCTCTTGCTTCAATCTTCAACACATTTTATTTAATGGCAGTACATTTGAAAGAATTACACTTTATTTGTATGACAATAAAATAGGCCAGGCTTTTCCAAAAAAAACTACTTGGTAAAGGGCAAATAGTAAGCCTTAATATATTTTTCAATTAGCACGTATCTGTTTTTTTAAATGAACTATTGAAATTAAGATTACTGACTTACTATTTAGTCTTTAAAAAAAAAAAAATACATCTTGCTTTGTGAGGTGGCAGTAAGGCGAGTAAGCTCCGTGCCATCACATTTCTCCCATCGCCTCCTCACAGCAGTACACATTTGCGTAACTAAATGGAGATTTTAAAAACTGACTAGATGGCAGAGCGCTTTAGCAGGTGCAACACTTAAATAGTCGTGTTTATGCTTTTTATATAACATCACTTTTACAGAAAAAATGCCTGAAAGTTCAGAGCAGATAAATGGCGAGTTTGTTTTGCAGGTGCTTGTGATTCACACGGGGTAAAGAAAAAGCCCGGTGTTATCAGAGAAATGCCACCTCCATCTCCGGCTTATTGCTGAACGCAGCGAATCCTCCTCCGAGTGCTGCAGCGGCTTAATCCCACGAGGAGCTCCGATTCTGGGACAAACACGCTGCTGCAGTCTGTGGAAGGAACATTTAAAAACCAGGACAAAAAAAGTACGTGGCAAAATATGTCGCTGTGAACTATTCGGAATGTTAATCTTGTTTTGAGTTGTTGTGATGAAGTGTATTCGTTGGATGTGACCTGGATAAACTTAATTCATTAAAAAGTTTGAATTTTCAAGTTGATTAAGATTTTCATTACAGCGTACAATCGACAATGAGCTACAAGCTTGGAATGAAATAAGAAGAAATGAGTCGGAAGAAGTCCGCGCAAAGTCTGTGATTATAATTGTAGGAATAAGTAAGTAAGTAAGCAAGTGCATTATTTATATAGCACGTTTTTACAGACCAAGGTCACCCAAAGCGCTTTACCAGGTTCAGAGTTCAGATATTGTTTCATTCTCTCAGCACGGTGATGACAGAAGCCGAAAATACTGGCGCATCAAAGCCCCAATCAACACCATCCATTCACTCACTCATTACATTCATACCTACTGTGCATGTTTTTAGTGGTGGGGTCCCTGGAGCACCCGGAAGAAAACTTTTTCATTCATTAAAAAGTTTGAATTTTCAAGTTGATTAAGATTTTCATTACAGCGTACAATCGACAATGAGCTACAAGCTTGGAATGAAATAAGAAGAAATGAGTCGGAAGAAGTCCGCGCAAAGTCTGTGATTATAATTGTAGGAATAAGTAAGTAAGTAAGCAAGTGCATTATTTATATAGCACGTTTTTACAGACCAAGGTCACCCAAAGCGCTTTACCAGGTTCAGAGTTCAGATATTGTTTCATTCTCTCAGCACGGTGATGACAGAAGCCGAAAATACTGGCGCATCAAAGCCCCAATCAACACCATCCATTCACTCACTCATTACATTCATACCTACTGTGCATGTTTTTAGTGGTGGGGTCCCTGGAGCACCCGG